TATATATATATATATATAGATAGATAGATACACATACATACGTATATATTAGATAGATAGATAGATAGATAGATAGATAGATAGATAGATAGATAGATAGATAGATAGATAGATATTATACAGACAGGCATGTATTACTTTTAATAAGCTTGAGTGAATATTATCAATTTTCCAAGGTGCACAGTACAGACTATAGATGATATGGCTGCCTAATGTTGATTTAAGATGCATTGAACGAAGCATATCTTTGACTGATGGAAGATCAATTTTCAGGCATGGATTCATTTTATCATCTATGCAGACCACAGTCATCTAGTCCAGATTGCTATCTTTTATACTTATCTTCTTCCTTTCTTCAACCAGATGGCTGCCCTGATCTGTGCAATGGCAATGGGAGATGCACACTCGGTCAGAACAGCTGGCAGTGTATCTGCCAGACCGGCTGGAGAGGGTCTGGATGCAATGTTGCCATGGAAACTTCATGTGCTGATAACAAGGATAATGAGGGAGGTGAGCAAAAGTATTCCATTAAAATCCCTAAAGAACAGAAGGTTATATGTTCACTTTAGATCAGAGTGATTTACTGACAAAAATGTGTTATGCTGTACATAAATACTGACTTATAAAGTAATCTGGCAAATATATTCTGGTCGTCAATCATTTACAATACTGTCCAGTACTTTCTGGGCTAGTTTGTTGATTTCCAAAGTCATGAGGCCACACAGTATTATATAATAGACAAAGTGTAGCCGACCAGGGTCTTTGAAAGTAAGCTGTGCTTGCTTTGATGTACAGTGGCCAAGTGTACACATTGCATGTATAGTCAAGTTTGGGATAGAGTATGGTAGAAGAAGAAACCCTGTCAAGTTTGCATTGCTCTGTATACACCCACTGGAAAGATTCATTGTCTTATTTGCCTTGGTTACCATTGTCATCAGGACAGGACAAAAAGTGTGTTACCAGAAAAAGGTGAGGTGAGGGTAAATAATATTTAATTGGGGACAACTGTTCTGATGACAATTGGGATAATTCTCCTCACTTTGTAAAGACTTATATTAACCTCTTGGGTATTTGGAAGGGAACATTTCCCCCAGTGACACAAACAGAAAAAAAAATAAACTGACAGGAATTCTAGCCCTTCGCTACTATCTAAAATAACAAAACAAAAGTGTGGCTATACTGTAGATACACTTTAACAAAAAAATTGGGAAGAGAAACCTTCAACACATGAGACTGTCCCATAAGATCAAGGACAGCTGGTAGATGTCATTTTCTGTTACTATGATTTTAACCTAATTCTAAAAAAAGCTCTTCTAGATATACACAGCTATGCAGAACTCACTCCACAGTAGAGACAGTTTCACATAATATTGGGAAATCTTAACTGCTAACAGAATGTAAACTTGGTATATTTTACCAGCATGTCCCCAGTAATACAAAAGTAAGCATGGTAACATAAAATGAAGCAACTGTGTACTTTGTGTTTTCTTGAGCAATTATACATAGAACTGTATATAGATATGGTAGTTTCAGGCAAAGTTCTGCGCTTTTAGCCCATCTCAGTGAGACTTTTTACACATCGGAAGATCTTGTTTTACAGTTGATACAAGTGGTAGTTAATACAAACAAACATGCACCTATTTTTCCCACTTGATGACAGCTCAAGTCACATGGGATTCCTTTATTCCTCTTGTCCTAGCTGTACAGCATATTGTCTTCATAATCTTGCTGCTACTGTGTGTAGTGGAAAATTAGTTAATTATTTTTTTATTATACTTATGATTAATTATACACTAATCAATAAAATGAAAATGTATGTATTTAAATCTGCTACAAAAGACTACAAAATCCAAAGGTAATTTGGTTCAAAACTGACTTCAAGACCTAAAAAAACTGGGACTTAATGGGTAAGCATATTTAATATAAGTTCACATCCACAGCTATTACCCCACCTTAATTACCCCCCCCCCCTTCCCCACACCATCCCAAGCTGCATACTGACCTGAATGTTGCATACGTTTACCACAAGATTAACACTCTGTGGACTGAATGTTTCTCCTGTCGGCTATACCTGCAAGCTGGATCATCATAGGCTTTCATGAAACCATCTCCTGAGTGTCTCCATCCAACCCAGTGTGCAGCAGCTGCCAGTAAGGAGATTTTAAGTGCAGAAAGTAATGCCTGAACCTGCATTCATTGGGATTTTTTTGGGGGGGTGACTTATTCAATAAAAATATGTATCCTCATGTATGTTTTATGTAAGTAAATATAAATATATAACACCACATTCATATAAAAACCACACATATGCATCAATCAAGAGTTGTGCTTCAGTAAACATGTACTATTGCATACAAATTATTTTTGTTTTTGCACATTAGAACTGAACCTCTTCCCCTAAATTTAGTCAACTTCAAAATTATACATCTGAAGGAAAAATGTGTGGGTCACCAGACTAATGTGTCAATCTGCATACTCCAAAGGACGTTTGAGGAAATTGTGCAGAAATAGGTTGTAACACATTTCACAGACAACACCTGCTTCTTCAGACAAAAAAGTGCAAAAATTACTTCTGTACAGGAACAGAGAGTATATCAATATACATATGTATAGTACTTGTAACACATGTATCTATATACATACATAGATATATAGCTGATAAGGAGCAGTGTAGCAGGCCTATACCGCAACTCTGACATAGCGGAAGTTGTGACACTGAAGTTCCTGTTCCGCCTCTCCGGCAGTGTGTCTTAAAAAAAATATACAGACAGCAAAGTATGCTGTGCTTTACATACTGGGAACCGAACCGGGGACCCCAGTGCTGCAATGCGGAAGTGCTAATCACTATATGCTAAACACATACTAATACCAAAGGATGACCTCTGTGTTCCTGCAAACATGGACAAGTATTTGGGTAGCTTCCGGGCATGTAAGGTCACATGGTGAGTGAGGTCTGCCAAGCATCACTTTGTTGGCAAAAACCAATAAAGTCTGAAATTTGCGTCACACAGCTTAGATTCATACATTGTGCAATAAGTTTCAGGGATATCCCTTTAAAGTGTGTCTAAAGCTAAAACTTTAATAATATATAATGTATATATACACACAACCCCAATTCCAAAAAAATCTGCTGTTGTGTAAAGTCTATATAAAAACAGAATGCAATGATTTGCAAACCTCATAAATCCATATTTTATTTACAATAGAACATAGAAAACATATCAAATGTTTAAACAGAGAAAATGTACCATTTAAAAAAAAGGTATTTTTGAAATTGATGGCAGCAACACATCTCAAAAAAGTTTGGACAGCGCAATAAAGTAAGTGATACTAACAAGGAAGAGCTGGGAAAACATTTTGCAACTAATTGGGTTAATTGGCAACAGGTCTGTAACATGGCTGGGTATAAAAAAGAGCATCTTAGAGAGTCAGAGTGTCTCAGAAGTTAAGATGGGCAGAGGTTCACCAATCTGTGAAAAGCTGCATCTAAAAATAGTCGAACAGTTTCGGAGTAATGCTGCTCAACATAAAATTGCAAAAACTTTAACGATATCATCATCTACAGAACATAATATCATCAAAAGATTCTGAGAACCTGGAGTAATCTATATGCGCAAGGAACAAAGTTGAAACGCAATAATGGATTCCTGTGATCTTCGGGCCCTCTGACTGCACTGCATTAAAAACAGGCATGATTCTGTGATGGACTTCACTGCATGGGCTCAGGAATACTTCCAAAAATCACTGTCTGTGAACACAATTCACCGTGTCATCCAAAGATTCAAAATTAAAGCTCTATCATGCAAGGAAGAAGCCATATCTGAACATGATCCAGAAACGCAGCCGTCTTCTCTGGGCCAAGGCTCATTTAAAATGATCTGTGGCAAAGTAGAAAACTGTTCTGTGGTCAGATAAATCAAAATTTTACATTCTTTTTGGCAATCATGGGCTTTGTATCCCCCACACTAAAGGCGAAAGGGATCTTTTGACTTGTTATCAGCGCTCATTTCAAAAGCCTGCATCTCTGATGGTATGGGGGTGCATTAGTGCATATGGAATAGGCAGCTTGCACATCTGGAAAGGCACCATTGATGCTGAAAGATATACAGTATCTAGGTTTTAGAGCAGCATAAGCTCCCATCCAGGGGACGGACTTGCATATTTCATCAGGACAATTCTAAACTGCATTCTGCATCTATGACAACAGCATGGCTTCAAAGTAGAAGAATCCAGGTGCTCAACTGGCCTGCCTGCAGCCCAGGCCTTTCACCAATTGAAAATATTTGGTGCCCAAAACTCTAGCAACTGGCCCTGCCACAACTTTTTTGAGATGTGCTGCTGTTGCTGCCATCAATTTCAAAATTACCTTATTTTTTCTGGAAATGGTATATTTTCTCAGTTTAAACATTTAATATGTTTTCTATTTTCAATTGTGAATAAAATATTGGTTTATGAGATTTGCAAGTCATTGCATTATGTAGATTTTACACAGCGTCCCAACTTTTTTGGAATTGGGGTTGTATAATTTTGAACAGAGTGTGGCTTCTTTTTTTTTCCCGCTGTCTGTGTCTCATTAGGGAGATTTCCTTTCACTTTCTGCCAAAGAGACACCAGAGAAAGTGACAACTTTTCCAAAGTGAAGGAAAACCTTCTCACCAAAACAAGTGTCCCCATTGAAAGATTTCCCATCAGCTCCAAGCTGAAAGACAACAAAGAAAATCTGATACCAGATTTCTCTATCCAAAACAAAAAAGTTTTTGCTTTAGATATATTTTAAGATTCCATCTATCATCTCTTACAGCTGTCTAATACATTCAACATGCATAATTTATAAATATTTCAGTATAATATTTTACATGAAAATGTTTAAATTCTTTTGTTTAAACCATACTTATGCTTAGTATAATATATTTGTGTTAATTTATGTATGTGTTTCTATAAAAGCAACAATCACAAAAGTACTGCGGTACAGTGGGAACATTTTTATCTGACCCTAAAATTAGTTTCCTACTTACCGATTTTCCTACATGGAAACATCTAAACAGTTGCATCAACCTGTTAGTAATTTTTGAAATATACAAATCCAGTGCAACATCTCATCCTCTTTCGGTGCATGAAAATAGGGCCAACTAGGAGAATACTGGTACCATGATCTCCATTAGCAGAGTTTTTTTACTTTAAAAATCAATGGCATTATTCAGTTTTCATATACCCTACCTTCATCACTCTAAAATGTTGTTTGGATGATTGCTATCTGGTGCCTGGTGTGAGTGTTGTATGGACTAATATAATAAAAAAAAGTGTTGTCGAATATCACCCAATTTACACCCCTGAAAATTGCCACGTTTACTACTTTAGAGAAGACGTGAACTCAAAAAGTGAAGGTTTGCTATATTATAGGAAACATTTAAAGATACTAAGGGGTCTATTCACAAAGCTGCCGAGGGCAGCCGAGTGAATGACCGATCAGAAGATTAACCAGAAGAGATGAGCACATCTGTCCGGTTTCA